CATTATATATCTTATAGACTTAAATATACATGCAGCTATATCATTTAGAGCACTTTCTTTTCCTCTCTTTTGTACAATGACAATTACACATTTTGGGTTTTGTTGCTCCCACAGTTCTTATTACTTTTTTGGAAGAGAGTAGAACCAAATGTGACATAACAGAACAGATTCAGTCAAATCAAAAGGGTGGACATAATAGGTAATGTAAAAGCATAATACAAGGTGATCAACAATGGGTACCATAATGCCTCCCGCTATCTCTCATAGAATTGCCTATATCATCAGTCACAATAAAATTGAACAAAACAGTAAAGAACAAAACTGACAAAACCAAAACATTGGAGACATTATAGGTCTTCAAAAGTAGATAATAGTCAACCAGAATGGGCGTCATAATGAATCACACTATCTTCACAGCTGTTGCCTAACTTTCGAACCTGGTACTATCAAGCAAAACAGAATAGAGAAACATCAGTCAAAACAAGATGGTGAGAGCAATACAGGGCTTTAAATCAAGACAATGGAAAGTCAAAGTGGGTTACTATAATATATTCTGCTATTTTTTATTTATTTTTCCCTTAATTAAAAGGATAAAAATAAAAAAGTAAATAATAAAATAGATATTGAGATAAAAGTGGCCATAATAGGCAAAACATCGCAGATCAAAACATAACCATTTAAGCAAAATAGTGTTTCACCACAAGATAATCCCAACATAAACGTAGTTACCATACTGTCTCTTGAAATCTTTGAGTATAGCTTCGTATACTATAGCATCAAATATATAAAAACAATGTAAAACCATTTAAGAGAATGACAGTATTACAGGGTATTTAGAATCCACTAACAGAAAATGAACAATGGTTTCTGTATAATCTCCTTATCTATAAAAGTTTTTTCTTATACTATTTTATATATAATAAAATTCAATAAGATACAACCTGTTTAGACCAAAGGAGACAGAAGAACAAAAGCTTGATTAGACTTCAAAACAAGATGATACTAAATCAGTATTACCTATTAAGACGCCATTTTCTCCAAAATAGCTGTTCCTATCATCCAATCTTCTCTGCCTCATTTCTGTTGAGCTCTTTTTCTGTCATTAGTTGTCAGTTTGTCGTCTTCATTTTGTTTTCTGCTCCATTCATTGTGGCCTCTCTGCCACTATTTCTGGATTCTTCATATTTTCCTTTTTTAGAATAACCTGCAGTATTCTCTAGAGTTGAATTGGTGGGTTGCATATTCACCTAGTTCCTCTTTATCCTGGAAGCACCTTGTTTTTCCATCCATTTCCAGGGATAGTTGTGCAGGATATATCAATCTTGGCTGGAGATTATTATCTTTCAAAGCTTGAATTATTTCCCCCCATGCTCTTCGTGATTTGATGGTTTGTGCCGAGAATGCTGCTGTAATTCTGATGGGTGTTCCCTGTAAATGATCTGTTTCTTGTCTCTGACGGCTTTTAATATTCTGTTCTTGTATTGGGTATCTGGAATTTTAATTATTATATGCCTGGGTGTTGCTCTGTTTGGGTTGTAGGTGGCTGGGGTCCTGTATGCTTCATACAAATTTTCCTTTTGCTAAATTAGGAAAATTCTCCTGGATTATTTCTGTGAGTAGCTTTTGTAGTTCATTTGTTTGTGTCCCTACTTCTTTTATGTTCTTAATTCTTATGTTATAGATCGTCTTATAATCTTCTAGTCTTTGTATTATTGCTGTTTGTTTCTTTGTTATTTTTAAGAAGTTTTTCATTTCATGCTCCCATATTACAAATCTGCCCTCCAGTTCAGTTAATCTGTCCTTAGTTTCTTTCAAGCTGTTATGCCAGTTTTCGATAGAGTTTTTAGTTTCCTGGTAATCTCTTTGAACCTGCTTCACGTATTCTATGCTTTGTCTATTTTCTCCATCAAACCATTCAACCCTCTTTTTCTGTTCTTCCATTCCACCATCTGTTTTTTCTTGGGTGGTGCTTAGCATTTCTTTAACTATTCTGCTTATGTCTAGCTTCAGGTCATTAATAACTTCATTCCTGAACTTGTCTATGAGTCTCTGGAGATAGCGCTTTATATCTATTGGTGCTGTGTCTGCTATTGCCTCTTTCTCAGGACTGGGGGCCAAGGAGCCTTTCTTGTTGCTGCCTCTTTCCATATTCTTTGTTCCTTATATATGCAAGCGTATATAGGAGGCCCAGCTTCCTTCCCTGTCGGCCAGTCTGATTGAATTGCACCGGCTAGGTGTTCCCGCCCACCGCAGCCCACCAGGAAGTTGCAGACCAGGCAGCCTATGGGGAGCCTGCCCCTCCAGGTCAATCTACCTTCAGGCGCTTGGACCTGGGTTGTGCTATCTTACTGGGTCTCAGCCAGCAGCGTCACATAGGCTAGGCACTGCACACCAATCCCTCTTGAGAGGGGGATACGTGACTGAAGTCACTGAAGTGCCCTGTTCCCGCAAGTCTGCCCGGTCATAGAATGTCCTCTGTTGGAGTCTCCTAGACTGTGGCAGAGTCCCAGTTTCTCTCACTCATCGTAGGTCAATGCACAGCTCCCCGCCCTTCCTTTCAACTCCGTTCACCAATTCCCATTCTCAGAGTGTTCGCGCATCTCTCTCTCTGCTGAGCCAATGTAGACACAAGCAGCAGCGGAGGGAAACCCAAATTGTGGCTTCCAATGGCGTGGGCTCCAGCTTCCACACTGAGGCTTTTCTGTTCCTGTTATAGCACGAGGATTGCATTCCCAGTTGGTTTCTCTCAGCCCAGTTCATTCTTGGGTCAGCAGGGCATATCTCCTCCTGCTTATGATACCTTACTCCACAACATTCCTGAATTCTAAGCTGGATATTTCAGAGAGCCTCTGTACGTGCTGCTATCTGTCCGCCATGTGCTCCGAAGTCCTCTTAAATTTCTATACACTAACATTTTGCTATCCTATGGAAAATAAACTTATACACTGTAAGATGTTCAAAAGCATCTGGAACATCATTAAAAATCAGATGATAAATTTTGGTGTGCTTTTTACTGTGAGAAAAAGTATATAAGAAGCAATTAGCTTGCAAAAGGTGGGTAAATATAAAAAGACATATTTAAACTCTTAATAAATTAAAAAGTAGGTATTGGAAATCTTGGCCATTTCATTTCTTCTGGTAGGTATATTTTATCGCTAAATTACACGTATAATCTGTCACTGTGTACTTAGGAAATATGTATGCAGGGAATTATAAGATATGATCACATAAAATACAGAAATTAAACCAAAAATAGGAAATATAACTTTGAGATTCATGTAATAACCAGGGAATACATCTACTATGAGATAATTCACTAATTGAATGCCTTCAAAAGAAAACATGTTCCTTAAAGTTCAAAGATTAAAGTGTAAGATTATATTAACAGACTGATGTTACAATACTGTACCACCAATGACCACAGACATAATATGCCAATATGACAGCATCTAGAGGGAAATATTTGGTGTCTCTCAACTCTTAACACTCACAGAATTACTACTTTTAAAAGGGGAGCTAGATAAAATGGTATCTTCCAAGATGGTTCCCAAAACAACAAAAGAATATTAGTTGAAAAGTACTAAGATATGAACACAGCATACAATTTCATTAGCAATAATGGCACACTGATATTTTCTTAGCTTTGACCAATACATCTTGATTCATATATGTCAGATGATAAGTTAACATGAAACAAATCTAGACAAGCAGACACAGGAACTTTCCATAATATCTCCTATCCCTATTCAAAATTTAAAATTATTCAAAAATTTCAAATTTCTTAAAAGCTGTAAAGGCGATCTAAGTCTCTATCTATGCAAATAAGAATGCAAAACTGAGCTGTAATGATGCTCTGAAAAGAAGAACAGAGAGGAATACAAGTCTTCACACACAACTCATGGAAATGAGAGGAAGCAGAGACTGAGGCAGGGGCATGAGGGGTTTCTGTTCAAGCTCTATTTCTTGACCTGGACTTGTGGTTGCACATATGTTGTCATTATATGGTAATTTGGTGAACTACGCTTTTTGCTACACTTATCTTCCACACACACAAAACTTTAAAAACACTTTTGTAATATGGTTAAATATCTCCCTGTTACTGACAAAGGCTAGAATAAAGAGACCATGGGTAAATAAATGAGGTGCACCTGTAGAGAGGTCATTAACAGGAATTACTATAACAATTATTAAATTATAGGCCTAACATCTTCAGAACTAGAAAGCACTGTAAGAATCACCAGGTGCAGCAGTGGTCAGTTCTTCATGGAAGTGCTCAGATGAGGAAGAACCCAGACAGCAGAGTCTCAGTCAAGTTCCTCAGGGACTAATGATGCACAGATTATAACTACTGTACTGTTTCAGGATGGTAAAATGACTTTTCATGACTTTTCAGCAATCATGAAGTTCCACAAATGGCATAAGAGCTAAAACTATCAAATGCTTGGCCCTCTATTCCATCTGAAGGATTAAGTCCCATCCAAGAATCCTGGGATATTATAATTCCAAATAACAGCAATATTAGTAAGTTCTATTAATCTCAGTAAGTTTACCAAAGATATTTTTCCACATCATAGCTTGCTTTTTGTTTTACCCCTGAAATAACACAGATTTTTGTATAAATTTAAACATTCTCATACAGTACTAATGCATTTGTCACTTACTAAACAATAGCAGATCACAGATTCATAGGCTGGAGGACTACTAGCCCACTTACTTGTTTGAAAGATAAGGAAACTGATATTAGTGATATTAGTAACTTGTCGTGTGTGTCTAGAATTTCATTCTCCTTTTTCAGGTTAATAAACTAGACTACATTTATTCTTCCTGATCATTGTCAGAGAAAATGAACTGGTATGCCATACATAACATCATTAGTTTTTGACTTGGGTTCTCCCACATACAATTCAGTCATTGTGACATCTGTGAACATTTCTAAAGAAATGACAGTTGGTGAGCACCAGGAAGATGGCAAATGAACCACAGATAACACAAAATCTTCATTAGATTGAAAGCAAATTGAAGAACTCCTTTTAATAGATAGTAACTCATAATAAATGTAAGGGGAAATTATAATGTTTTATAAGTAATACCAATCTTAAGAAGGTAATGGAGAGGAAGACAATCATCATTATAGTCAAACCTAGAAGATTGTTCCAAAAGCCCGAGCGTGAGGGATCAATGTTTTGATATTCCAAAAATTCTACACCATCACATCTGAAATTAAACACAAAAAGAATACAACTTCATTCTCAGCATTGGTCATATTTTATTCAGTCAATTCACTGTTCAGTTTTGAAATAAGCCTATAAGTTAAATGAACCTGTTAGCAGTTATCCCTTCATATGTAACAGCTGACAGATACTGAGTACTGACAATTTTGCCAGATACTACACTAAACAACTTCACCATACAGCTAAATGTCTTAGTTTCTGTTCCAAACTCCAGCAGACTCTGTTTCCAAATGAAATCACCTGAATTGATCTTTACTGTTTGCATTTCTATCACTATTCTGGTCTTCTGAGTACTAACTAGGATCTACCATCAAAACTTGGCTTAGGGTATTCTTGGACTTTTCCAACTAGCATCTCCAAACCTTTCCAAACCTTCCCATGAACCAGTTCTGATGGGTTCTGAACTATATGGTCAGGTATGGTCATAGAAACAACCCCATTTTCCTGGCACTAAAATCTGTCTTAGTCACTTTCACAAGGCTAACAAAACACCTGACACCCACAATTAAAAGGAGGAGAGATTCATTTTGGCTCATGATTCAGTCCAGGTTTATTCTAAGGCAAGAAGAACCTGGTAGAAGTATCTAGCAGAAGAAAGCCACTCATGTCATGGCAACCATGAAGCAGAGAGAAACGGGGAGGTGAATAGGCAGATACACACTTCCAGGGACAGGCTCCCAGGAAATTGTCTTTTCTGACCAAGTCAACCTAACAGTAATATAGCTATAACAGCTCATAATCCAATAAGCTTCCAAAAGTCCCATCTCTGAACACATGAAATTCTTGGGGCACATATTATATCTGAAGCATAACACTATAATAATCCCTAAAATAACCCAATGGGATTTGAATATTATATACATTTTACAAAGATGATCAGGAAATGAGATGGTCAATGTTCAGTTTGGTTGTTCCCAGCTTGGGAAGCCAATCACAAGATAGACAAGGATACTCTCCATAAAAACAAAATGAGAAATATTTAAGTTTACAGAGTTGCCTCTAAACCAAGTTTCTACCCCTTTCATATTCATTTGTTTCTAAATCTAAAATGCTGCGCTCTTCAAAGGAAATGTTTATCAAGTAAGCTTTCATTTATTACTGATGGAAAAACCCTGAGACCTAACTGGTTACACTTATTGTCTTTGCCAAGATGGTCAAATCTACCTGTAGTTGTGCTCACCCACAAAATAACCATCAAAATACAGGCTATAAATTCTAAAGCTGGAAATACATGGGAACAAGGTTTCAGGGCAGTCACATGTGGTCAATTCCTGCTGTAAGACAGTAACAAGCACTGCAGTCAGTGAGCTACAGAATCTTACCATCAACCCAGGTATCAGACACAAATCTTAAGTAAAAGCAGAGCAGAGAGGAACGTTGCTGTTGAAATGAAAAGTTCTTGGTACTAAAGATATCTGGAACTACTATAATTATTGCCTGCTACCATTTCTGAGCATCTCTTAGAACTCAGAATTTCCAAAAGCATCCTTGTGTCTCTGTACTAAGAATTGCTTCCTCTTCTCCATAGGAAGGAAGATCTTTATGTACGCATAAAGCCTGTGGTGGCTTCTCTTTATCTGGTTATATTTTCCTGTCTACTTCCTCTTAACCAGCAGCCTAGAGATGACAATTTTACAAAATGCCATATCTAGATCAAAAGAAAAAATAGTGCAAAGGGTAAAAAAAATTCTCACTTCAAAAGTTTTTTCTGTTGGTAACTCAAATTAAAATTTGTGTTCATAAAAAGAATTATTTCTAAACTACTTGAAAATCCAGGAGATATTTAATATACCAACACTTCTGTTTCATTAATTTTTGTATCTAAATCATGCCATTAACAATAATCATAGAAGAGTATGATTAAAAACATAAAGCAATATTCCTAAATTTATTAAAACATGAGATTTTTTAAATCACATTATTCAAAAATGAAATTTCCATTTCAACATACTGAAATACACACTTCTTTCATTAGCATATACATCCTATAGCAGAATATTTCAAGTTAGTTTGCATGCATGCGCATGCGTGTACACACACCGACACACATACGCACACCCAATTGTGTAATTTTTGAATTCATGACACCCCTCAAAGGCCTTTGGCAGTGGGAAATCCTACAATCCTCATGAGGCAGCACTCACTCCCTTTTAGATCTTACAACTCTGCCCAGGCTGGGCTCAAACATATAATATGACCCTTAAGTGTAGAGTCAGTTAGCTTTTCTTAAACTGTCAAAGCAAGCTGTTGTTAAATATTAAAAAAATAAGAACCTAAACCCATAATCAAAACATAAAAGTAGTCTTTCAAAATGTCACAGTAAATATTTCTCCACATTGAAAATTATTTTGGCTACCAGAGAATACAAATAAAGCATGTTCACATGCAACACTACACAGTGTCTCGCTGGATAGATGAGAAATACAGCCTCAGAAAGACTGACCCAGAGGACTCAGACAGGCTCTAAGCCAGGGCCTATTCTTCATTACAGCATAGCATGTAACTAAACCCATTTTGACAATGAATGTGAACTTACATTACATGATTGGAACAACCACTGTGTTCCGCTGTATTAAATTCAGGACAGAAGTTTTGACCCCAAAACTCATTATGCTGCAAAGCCTGTAACACAAGTGAGAGTAGGCATTATAAAACATTTCCAAGAAATTATCACAATTATGTCTTGTGGCTTAATCTTCATTGTTATCCCTAAAGAACACCAAGTTTCACATTTACAGTGTTTGTCACATCAAGGCAGCTAAAGTTACTTTTTCTGCAATTTAGATAGTTGGTTTTGGAATGTTATTCTAAATCGGCCAAGAAGGGACACCTGGCTCCCTGGAAGAATTGTTATATATATAAATCGTTCCTTTTCTCCCTAACATTTAACCACATAAACATACAGTTAAAATATTACAATGCTGCTCAATGAATATTGCTGCCTTATGGTAATTATCTTTTCTTAAATATTTTCATCAAAACCAGTTGTAGTCATAGGAAACAGAAAATTAGTATGCTATATAAAGGCAGTTTTCCTTGGAGTACATTAGTTTGATAGTAATGCCTTTGTTTGGATTTTAATATCCATTTCAATGAACCTCATATTCTAGTCACCTATCGTCTCATTTATTTCCTTATTACACAGACACATCAATACGGTTTCCATCAATTAGCATTTCCCGTTTACTGTGAGAATTCTCTGCACCTTTTAATGTTCCTCAGATAATAGGGTAACTGGGACCATGATGGCTCCCTGACCTCATGCTAACCAAAGCTAATAGGGTATTCTTATCCTTTGCTCTGGAAAGGAGACAACTGCAAATCATGGCCAGGTAAATGACACAGTCAGAGTTCGGTTTGGTTGTTCTCATCTTGGGAAGTGAATCACAAGACAAAGACACTCACCATAAAACCCAAATGAGGAATACTTAAGTACTGAAACCGTGTAAACACAGGTGCAATGGTTGCAACGGTTTCAGAATACAGTGACATATTAAAAAAAACCTACAAAAAAAAACCACAAAAGACAAATCATAATCAATCCAGTGATTTTGAGAATTTTAAAGAAAACTGCTCAAAACCTTATAGTCTAATCATTTCTGAGTAGACCAACTTGGTCTTGAAATTCTTTTCATTTGTATTAAATACTAGTCTTCCTCCTTTGTATGTGAATACCTCTGCATAGGTAAGGCTGGTAAAGGTGTTAAAGAAAGAACAATATCCTGAAATTTATATTATAGCTTTTGCTTATTTTTAAGTGTATATTTGCAATACATAGTAGTTATGTTCCTTCTAGGGAACAGATACACAGATATCATGTCTTCATCATTTTTGATCACTTTGTCTTGTTTTTTCCTATCTCTCTTTTGTTAACCTATTTATTTATTTATTTATTTATTCATGGGTTTTGCTTCTCATATAAGAGAAACCATATGATATCTATAGTGATACCTAATATAATGTAAATGCTATGTAACTAATTATACTGTATAGTTTAGGGAATTATGGCAACAAATGAAAAATGTGTCTCATAAGTACAGACATATATTGTTTTAAATCTTCAACTCATGGTTGGTGGAGTCTGTATATGGAATCTATGGGCATGAAGGGTCAACTACACCAACTGTTCTAAAGATATCACAACTACCTCTTTCCCTAATAAACCTGGTTATCTAGGAGCAGACCAGAACAATGCCAAGTCTCACATGCCCCTCTCTAACCCATACAACAACAAGATTTGTCATTTACAAAGATTTGCTCTGTGAATTCATCACTTAATGAATAATGTGTGGTTCAAAGTACAAGTTTAGGATTAATCAAAACGTAGAATTGATACATAACATAATGTGGCAATATACAAAAGAAAATGTACCCCACACCTCACAGCACAGTAGAGCTATGAGGAACGACTGCTGAAAATGAGTAAGAGATAACTATGGGGTTCACAGAAAATTGTCCTAACTGGGAGAAGACTTACTGGGATATGCAAAACAATGTCAATATTGGTAGCGTTTCTGCACTTATTCAGACATGACCTAACTAAGTGTTTAGTATGTAACAAAGCATTTCGGAGTAAAATTTGGTTTTCTGATTGGCGTTATGGTTTAGATCTAGAATTTCCCCCAAAAGTTTTACGTGTTCAGAGGTAGTGTTTTCAAAAGTGATTAGCACATAGAAGGTGCTCTGTTGATCGGCAGAAATCCACTAATTAGTAAATTCATAGCTGAGTGTGTTATTGAAAGCTGGGGGCTGGTCAGAAGAGGTACATGATGTAGGGGTGTGACCTGGCAGGAAGTATCTTCCTCCCTGGCTCTTGCCTTCACATTCTGCTTTCTGGTGAGGGAAAACAACAAGGCAATTGATTCCAGTTATCCAGTGCAAACTTTGGGAACATATAGGGGCACATGTAGGATTATAATTAAGCAACCATTAAAAAACAGAGATGGAGATAAGCTAGGAAAAGTGATGTAAGCCTGTGAACCACAGCTACTCAGAAGAATGAAGCAGAAAAACTATAAATTTGAGGCCAGCATAGGCAAATTAGCAAGATGCTGTCTCAAAATAATCTGAAAAATCGCAGGATACAGCTCAGTGGAAGAGCAATTTCCTGGCACATGAGCTCTAACGGATATAACAGCAAGCGTGTTTAGGGGTGTTAAATAGCTGACTATATTAATGTTTTTGGATCATTGAATACAGCTGTTTGCAGTCTCTCTGTTTGAATGTCCACTTTGTATTCTTTGATACTGTGATTTGAGCAACTGTTTCCAGGATGATAATATGTAATCTATTAACAGGTGATTTCTTACTGTTATGTTTTTTTTCTTTGTAGTTCTGTATTATGTGTACCCTTACACCGCTTTGTTTTGTTTTGTGTTTTTCTCTTTTTCCTCTTAAATAAAATTAAAAAAAAAAGAAAATGGGAAAAATAATAAGGAAAATTATACTCATATCAGAGAGTGTTAGGAATTCAGAAAGGAGGTGATTTTGGAATTTTTCAGTATTTTCAAAACACTCCTTTTCAAACCATAAGAGACCCCAAGGCAGACTTCCCATGAGACAAAACATTACACTTCTTACGTAGCTTGGCTTTCATCCTGGAGAGTGGTAACTCCAGCCATGCCACCTCTGTAGTTAAAAAGCCAGCAGATCTCTAATACTGGCAGGAAAAGCAAGCAGATAGCATGGCATATTCATGAAATAATTAACAAATCACAATTCTTTTGGTTTTAGAAATGCCAATAGATAAGATTTAGCACAGTGTTGCCAGAAAGAGCTTTTTAAAGTCAAATTACCAAGCACATGTTAACTAAGTTACAATTACTACACTAGAACAGCACCCCCAAAAAAGGTTGGACAAGGGAAGGAAGAAAGCTGGTATTCTCTACTATAAACTATAATTGTTTATGGTCTCCTGAAAGCATCAGTCCCATGTATAGAATATTCCCAGCTGATTTTATCAGACAGGTGAATACACAGAAAGGAACAAAGGGAGTATTTCCCTCTCACAGAAGCATAGATTATACTCACCAGCATAAACGCAAAATAGAGGTTCATGATTAATGTTGTCAGATAGTCCATTCTTGGACTTATTGCTATGGCCAGTGCCATGGAACTGGCTGTGTAAGTTGTCAGCATAACAGTAAGTATCATGAGGCAAAAGGCCTCTACCTCTTTTTTCAATCCTTAAAAGAAAACAAAGGGTCAATCCAGCTGTCCACATCATCATGTTTTGGTAATAATTTATTGGACAAGTAATACTATAATCTATAAATCTAGTATCAGAATGAAGAGTCACCCACTATCAAACTATCTGGGTCACCAGTTTCATTTTCCCTCCATGTAACTGCATAAAGTTTTCATATACTTTTTCTTATCACACTTACTACAAAAACTCTTCTCCATAAAGCACCTGTGCTCTCTTGTATGAGCTTAAGAACAATATCTGAGTTCCTGAGATGGAGCGCTTATGAGTTTAAGAACAATATCTGAGTTCCTGAGATGCAGCGCTCCAAGCAACACAATGGACCAGCATTCTCATGCCTTCGCCTCTCACAGAACATTCAGCAACAGCGTTTCACTTCCCCAGACATCTGCACAGCACTCAGTGTTTGCTGTGACTGCACTAGTGAGGAGCCTGGGGTGAGGACTCCATGGCCTTACAGTGATTTTAATATCTGAGACCAGGGAAGGGCCTTCATAAACCAAGTCCCCCAGAACAAAGCACCATGTGACCTTGTGATTGAGAATGGGGTTAACTGAATTCCTGAAGCCATCTCATAAAATATAGTGAGCCAACATTATGCATCACACAGGCTGAAGATTTACAAAGAGCTGCAAGAACACAAACAGGAATCTTGAGACCTCGATTCCACACCTAATTCTTTTGATGCACATCATCCTTACAAAATGGAATATCTAAGCTCTGTAAATGATTCTTATTAGGTAGCGTGTTATCAAAAACATAGTTCTGTTGTGTATGTGTGTACACCCACATGTTTTTGTGCACACATGCATGTGTCTTTGTGTGGCAAATACTATCACTGAAATGTGGTGTTACGTAATTTTGATGAGCATGGGATGAAGGCTGAACATAATGCAAAAATGAAATTATAGCAATCAAACAAGTATTTTTATTAACGCACTATAAAGTACAAGGCATACAGAATAGTATGTATTTTGTTTTTTTGACCTCTATATATACGTCTATAAAGTTATTAAGAATGTTACCTATCTCCTATCTATATTTTACCTCTATAAGGAACACACAGAGGGATAGAAAAATATAGACACATAGGCAATGAATATTCCACCACTTCCAGCTTGGTCTCAAATTGTGTATAAATTTTTTTCACTTTTGTGTATGACAGTAAATATATCTTATTAAAATTGATTTGGGAAAGATACCCATATAATACACAAAATATCTAAGATAATTGTACTATTCACTCTATTAGCTTATTGAAAGAACAGCTACTACTTGTATTGTTTGATCAGTTTTGCCTGGCTAGATCTGGTAACTGAGCAACTATTTTGAAGAGAATAATATGTAATATAATAACTATTGTTAACTTCCTATCATCTTGTTTTGAAACTCTGTATCATTTTTATTGTTTTTTTTTATTTTTAAAAGAAAAAGATGAAAAATACCCATACAGCACAGTTATTTTAGAGAATTCACAGTGGCTACATATTTTGTCTCTAGCTCACGGCCTTTTTTGCACTTTGCACAATCTTCCCTAAACATTCTTTTAAGGAAAAATTAGTTTCACCAATATCCAAGTCTACAAACAAACGTTTTGTCTTTTTACTTACCAAACATAAAATATACAGTCAAAGTAAATGTAATACTTGGCAAAAACCTCCTAGGGATTAAGTCAGATAAGAGTTTTCCAAAGAAATAAGGAAGAAGTCCATAGTATCCGCTGATATACTCGTGTCTGTAGAAGAAAAATATACATTAGTTAGACATCCCAGATTAATTTCAGAAGCTACAGACCATAAAAATAACTGCTTGCTATATAGAATTTTGCTGCCCAGGGCTGTAAAAGGACAACTTCCCACATGTGCTAGGCTGCCACTCCGACACTCTTCACGACACCCCATATTAGCTGCAGGAGGCTCTCACTGTGATGCTCTCTTTTTGCAAAACTTCCTCCTGCAGCTGTCCACGTGGGCCCAGAATCCTGCTCCAGATGCAAAGAATCAGCATCTTCTCACTTGCCTCACAGACTCTGCTTCTTTAATGCTGGTTCTCTCTGAAGAACAGCAGTCATGTTGGCTGTTCTTTTCCTCACTTCTTCTTCTTATTATTGTTACTATTAAGTTTATTGGTACCATTTAGATAGACACAATGATCACATTCATCACAGGGGATCTGTATTATATACATGATATAAAGAAGTTGTGTATCAATACCTACAATGCAGCTTCACATCAACAATCTCTCTTTACTTCTTCTATTTTTATGCAAAAGACTTCTTCCTTTGATGATCCTGTCTCCAACTAAGCAGCCATGTCAGCCACCAAATCCTAATCTTCCTCTGACACTATTCTCTCATATTTGCAAACTATTTCACCACTATCTTACTCCTTCGCCTCTCTGATGATTCCTTTCCTTGGCATGTATATATGAGCCAATTGTCTTTCATCTTTGAAAGACACAACAGGCAAACCCAGCCTGCTCCTTACTGTGAAGCTGCCCTCTTGGTCTTTCCATTCCTCCATCCAACGAGGACTAACTTGGACCCAGTCTTTGTCAACTTTACCCGCTTTCTCCACTTCACTGCTGAACTCGCCATATACTCAACACCAGGCCTTCAAAAATTCTCTTCCCCGAGTTTCTATCACCAGTTATTTGCTAAAAACAAAAGCTTCTCTTCACCCCACTCACTGGTGCCTACTCATTTGCTAACCATACCCTGATCTTGAAACTCCTCTCCCTTGGCAGCAGGTTCTACCCACCATTGGTGCTCTACTCCACTGGTGACTTTTTTTCAATTAGCATTCATACATATATACTTCAAAAGCTTGTGATTATAATAAATATGTGGATAGTTTGTATTTTTCAATTAAAAAAAATAATGAAATGAAACTACTGGTAATCCCTAGTATGGCATCCTTGTCCCAATTCTCAGTGGAACAAGTTTGTCCAATAATCACCACAACCATTGCAAAAGAAATCTACTCACATGAACAGCTTCTTCTCAAGCACAAAGATCTCCCCGGCTGACATACTGCTGAAACACTGAAAGACGGCCAGTGTGAAGAGTACTGAGGATCTTCCAGGTCAAAAGAAGAATAAAAACCCCACAGTCAGTATCACATCATTAGATATTCTACCTGCAGAATTCTTTTTAATGAATAATATTACATTAAACAAATTATTGAAATTTTTCTTTATGAAAGCTAGAATTACTTTGGTTAAAAGTGAGAGGGGAGCAGGACCCCATAAGGTCTCTCTTCCATCTGTCTCTATAGCTCAGCTGGACCCCTGTGAGTCCAAACTATAGCACATTTTGACATTCATGGCCTGCTGCAAGATAAATTTTGTGTTCCCATAAAATTTATACTTGAAACAACAATCCTTGGGAGGAAGTCTTTGGGAGTTAACTAGATTGAGATGAAGTCATGAGAGTAAAGCCTCAAGATGAGATTAGTGTCCTGATGACAGGGAGGAACACCTGACTGTGTCATGAGAGGGCATCGAGGGAAGGCAGCCATCTGCAGCCAGCACAGGGCCTTCACAGGAACCCAACACTGCTGGATCAGAACAATGACTACAATATTTTATCCTTTGATCTGCTGATAGACGCTTAGTTTGATTCCTTGGTTTGGCTATTATGAACAATATTACAATGAACACAGAAATGCACATAAGCTGACTTTAAATATTTCAATACATGAAAGCGAGATGACTAGATACAATTAGTTTAAGCCCCTTTCCTAATTTGTTTAGCTATCATCTCAAACCTACTAAAAGCGGCAAGAAGTTCAAAGTCTGCAAAGGATTCAAACACAGTTTCTTTGTTAAACCATAGTCCTCTTTGCTTAACACGATGTTCACCAGTGCTTCTTAGGGTTTGTTAATGTACAGTTGAAATTTGATCCCACTGTTGTCAATGAATTTAATACACTAGCCAAGGAAACACAGTACAGCTGCCAATTGGTTTTCTCTTTATGCTGATACCTAGATGCTTGGAGGTCATAACACTGTGGCGTGCCCCTGAAAAACAGAGGCACTGAGCCAAAAAGTTTGCAAACCCCATTACAAAACAGAAACATGAAAAGACAAGGTAACAAAATGCCCACAAAATCTCCCAGTTCTCCCAAAACCAGTTCAAGGGGCAATAAGAGGGAGAAAATCATAAATGAGACAGCACATATATTTCAAAGGCTACCAATGGAGATAAACCAGTCCATTAAAATAGTTGGTGAACTTAAAGAAGTTATACCTAATAAGATAATGACCTTAATCAAACAAATTATAAATTAGTCTAGAGAAGACACTAATACACAGCTAATAGAACTAAAGAAAGAGATGTAAAATATGAATGCTCAACATAGAAAAAAATGGGAGTCATTAAGAAAGGTACAAAACAGAAATCCAGGAGATTAAAAATTGATTGAAATTGTGGGGGTCAGAAGTGATCTATGTGAAGACAGAGTGAAGGAAGGAAATTATAAAGATTACAGCAGAAATTTTAAAAAGGGAGACTAAAGCAAAACATTACAAAGAATCAATGAATCAAAGAGCTGGTTCTTTGAAAGAATAAACAAAATTGACAAACACTTAGCAAATGTTACCAACAAATAAAAAGGGAGAAAAGATACAAATTAATGCAATTAGAAATAAAAATGTTGAAATCAATGCAGACACTGTTGAAATCCCAGAAAATTCGTAGCAAGTATTTTGTGAAATTATTTGCCATACAACTGGAGAACACAGAAGAAATAGAAAGATTCTAGATCTTATATGACAGCCACAATTAAATCAAGAAGACTTAAAAATTCTCAATAGCCCAATAACAGGAATAAAATTAAAGCAATAATAAGAAAAACTATCAACTAAGAAAAGCCCAGGAGCTGATGAAGTCATAGCCAATTTCTATAGAATCTCCAGGGAAGATCCAACACCAATACTCCTCAAAGTTTTCAATGAAATCCAGAGATAAGGAGTACTTTCAAACTCACACTTGGAAGCTAATATTATCCTGATCCCAAAACCAGACAAGGGTCTAACCAAAAAAGAGAACTATATACCAATTTCTCTAATGAACTAGAAGCAAAAATCCTTAAAAAGATACTAGCAAACATATTACAATGAATCATCAACAAGATCATACATCATGAGGAAGTAGGCTTCATCCCAAGATGCACAGATGGTTGCATACAAGCAAATCAATAAATATAATTCATCACATAAACAAAAGCAAAGACAAAGAATCACATGATCATCTCAACAGACACAGAAAAGGCCTTTGACAAGATCCAACATTCATTCATGCTAAAAACCTAAAGAAAATAGGTATCTCAACATGACAAAAGCTATTTATGACCAATATACTGCTATCATTATACTAAATAGGGAAAAAATTAAAACCTTCCCCCTAAAGTCAGGAACAAGACAAAGAAGTTCATTATCACCACTCTTGCTCAACATAGTTATCAAAACATTAGCCAGAACAATCAGGCAGTGGAATACTTTAGAAAAGGACAGTCAAGCTCTGCCTAGCTGCCTGGGTCCTGGAGGTTTTGAACTCCACTCAGCCAGGCATAAGGCACCGGCACCACACTCCAGCAGTATGTCCTCACTAGCTGCACAGAGGACCCGAGCTCTGCCCAGCCCCGTGTCTCAGTGCAATCCATCAGGGGAATGCCCAGCCAGCCTTACAAGTCACAGAGGTACAGAGGCCAGCCCAGGCCCAGAACCCAAGCCACTCATCAGGAAGTGACCAACCTAGCTGATGGGTGTTGGAGAATTTGAGCTCTGGTCATCAGATCACAAGGGTCCAGCTCTACAGTTCAGGGGGGCAGCCCAGCTAGTCATGCGGAAGGTCCTGGAGGTTCTGAACTCCACCCAGCCAGAAACAAGGTCCCAGTACCATATGCGCTCTGGCTGGCAGAGGTGCGCTCTGGCTGGCCCCATGCTCCTGAGGCTCTGAACTCCTCCTAGCCAGATACAAGTTCCCAGCCATGCCACACTTTGGGGATGCACCCTGCCTTGCCACCTGGGTTCCAGAGGCTCTGAACTCTACCCAGCCAGGCATAAGGTCCCAGCACCACACTCCAGGAGGCCATCCCTGCTAGCTTCCTGGGTCAAGAAGGTTCTGAACTCTACCCAGCCAGGCCCTAGGCCCCACACACTGGGTGTGTGTCCCTGCTAGCTACCTGGGTCCTAGAGGTTCTGAACTCCATTCAGCTAGGCACAAGGCGACAGCACCACACTCCAGGGATGTGTCCCTGCTAGTCATGTGAGTTGTGGTGGTTCTGAATTGCACTCAGCCAGGTTCTAGGCCCTAAGAATACACTCTAGGGGTGTGTTCATGCTAGTTGCATGGAGCATTAAGCTCTGCCCAGCACCAAGTTCCAGTGCAATCCAGCAGGAGGGTACCTGGCCAGCCACATGGCCTCAGAGGACAATGACAGAAGAGCAAGATGCAGTCTCAGTTCTCCAGCCCACCAAGAACAAACCCAAGAGATACTGAAATGGAAGACACTGGAAATTACACAACTGCCCTTTCTGGAATGATAGCAACTGAAGTAAAAAAACAACTCTGGAGGGAAAAAAATGATGGCTTGCTAGAAAGCTGGATAGAAACCCTCTCTGGAGAAATCAGCCCAGATGCTAGAATCTGACAACATGGAGAGGGCCAGATAATTGGAAAATGATTCTCACTAAACCAGGAAATAACCGAAAGAAAAATAAAATTAAGAAGAGGAAGGAAAAGCGCAGGTGGAGGGCTGAAGCCTGACATACTCACTGAGACCTGTTCCGTGCTGTGCTGGGCACCCCATGGAGACAGATGATTCAAGGTCGCCCTGAAGCTGTGGCTGCCAATAACGGGAGTTGGTGAGTCCTAGGCCCGTGGTGGGAGGATGTGGCACAGTGTGGAGTGGAGCCAAGGTAGAGAGCTTTATTAGCTCTTGGTAAGTGCTGGAAATTGGGTCCTGCATGGTAGACTGACTTGAAGACATCTTGGAGTAGAGCACAGTCCAGCACCACAGTGGCATCAGTCAACCTCCCTTGGCCCAGAGAGGACTGCTAGGAGCAGCTTGGGCTGAACCACACATCTGGTTGGGACCCAATAGCCAGGGACGAAACTATTCCAAACCTGTGATGTCCGCCACAGCACAGTATAAAGTTCTGAAGGCAGTCGCAGGTTGACTACCACAGAGGGGAGGGCTAACTGCATGCCACCTCAAATATCAGCAAACTGGAGAGAGCAGCAAGCCCCCAGCCAGCCCGCTTTAGAAAAACTGTAAGGAATACAAAAACAGCCTGAGATCTCTACACACCTGTCTGAAAGAAACCAGACACACAACAACAGCAAAAGATAAGACAAAACCTCCAGCCACTGACCCTTGGAAAATCAGCCAAGGGGAGGTAAATACAGAAGAGACCAGTACAGCAATCATGCAGTGTTAGCCACAACATCAGCAGACATAAAGAAATACATTCATGACTTCATAGATGAACTTAAAACTGAAATTCTAACCCAAGTGAGACAAAAAAAAAAGGTTTATTAAAGAAATGTTAAGCCCTTCTCAAGAAAACACAGAGGGAAGAAGGGAGGAACCCAGAAAAGGAAGAGAAACCTTTGGTGAAGAATATAAACAAAATCCAAAATACATGAAACAGATCCAAAGAGACTACCAGGAAACTAAAAACTCCATTGAAAGCTGCCAAAATGCCTTGACAGAAACAAAAATTATCCTTTCGAAACTTGAAGACAGATTTACAATGTGTGATCAAGAAAGAAAAGACCTATTAAAAATAACAAGGAACCAAGAAATAACAATTCAAAGGCTAGAAGACAAGAGGATATATAACTTAAGAATGAAAAACATAAGTGAAGAAGCAGGAGTAACCACAAATGAATTACAAAGACTATTCACAGAAATAATAGGAAAATTTCCCAAGCATAGGAAAAACAAATGATATCCAGATAAATGAGGCATACAGAACTCTAGCCAAAACAGATCTACATCCAGACATATAATAATCAAGATTCCAGAAATCCACCACAAGAACAGAATATTAAAAGTGGCCAGTGAGAAA